ATGACAGTAAATATTCTTATTTAAATAAAGTCTCGCATTTAATGCTCGTTCGCGATAAAAAAAAAAAAAAAAAAAATTTAATTATTATTTAGAATCAAATTAAAATAAAATATCTTATAATCAAAAAATAAAACAAAATATAATTCAAATAGTAATTTGATTATTAAAAATTTTTTTATCTTAATAAATATAAAAATTATACATGTAATTATATTATTGATTTTTACTATATATAGTAATATAATTCTTAATTAAATATAATTTTCAATTAATTTACTATATTTTAATAATATGTTTTTTGAAAAATGCTTAAATTTAATTCTATTACATGTATAATAAAAATAAATAAAAATAAAAATAATAAAAATTGATTCAATTATTTTAATATTAAAATTAGAGATTATAAAATATTCAATTTGAATTCATATGTATAATGTCAATCATCTATTAGATTATGCATAAGAATTCTAATCAGATATTTTGTGATCTCTAACCAAAATCATAAAAGATAATATAATAAAGTTTAATAAAAAAAATCCTCAATACAAAAACCATTAATAACAGTTGACCTATCCATTCTAGTTGCAGATGTCTATATTCAAAACAACTTTAACTTCTTTAAATGTATCACCAAACTAATCCAAATTATATCAATTTTATTTTCTCTAATACTGAGTAGATAGACATAGCCACTTGATACCTCTTGATAAGATATATTGTTTAAAATTATTTTCAATATTAGTCATTTGGTTTCTGTAGGCAAGCTAGCATTAAACTCATTGTATTCACTTATGGGATATGTTGTTTCTTTTATGATATATACTTTTAATATACAAATCAAATAAAGAAATAATGTTTACTTACTAAAAAAAAAAAATTAATATATTGGTATACTTATAGAAAACTTATTAAAACAATATTGTTAATGTACATAATTTATTTCTAAGAAAATTATAAAAAATCAGGTTTTATTGTAATTACAGTAATTTGAATTTGTGGTCGTATAAAACAATAATATGGATAATTCCTTAACCCTGAATATCTGGACTGATATGCTAAATTGGTGAATCACCAAGTTCTTTGACTGCAAAATTCGTTTGATCTTATATATAGAGCACATACGGAAGAGACTGGGCTCGGTTCTTGGATAAAGTCTGTAATTTGCGAATCACAAATTGAAAAGATTAATAATTGTATCTTACAGGACAGTTTGCCGTAAACATATAACAAAACTCAAGATAATACTGAGAAATTTTTAATCCCTACTGTGGCTGAGAAAAATAGGTGGGTCATGGAATGTTTCCGAGGTGAGTTGGAAAGAGATATGCGCTTTTACTGTGGCGCAATAGAAAGTAGAGAAGATCCTAGAAAATATAGATTTTTAACAGATCGAGACAGACTGATTGGGAAGAGTTATTACGTTGCAGTATACTAAAGAGTGGTTTAAGTACAAGGTAGCTTGATGATCTTGTGGAAGAGAGGGGAAAAATCCATATTCTGCTCCCTTGGGGCTCACGTCACATGCATAACCATGGTTTGAAATTCAGAGCCTGAATACTTACGCAAAAGTATATACGCGGAATTCAATTCAGCTTTATTCTAAACTTTTATATGCATTATATGCAATAAATCAACAATCTCATTTTATTCATCCGCGATCGAGAACGGTTTATATCTAAATATAATAACATACACATTTTTTGATTTTAATGTCACATTTACTTATGCACGGTTGAAAAAATAATTCCAAGATTTTTTTGCTGAGCAACAATCGGCGTAAAGGGATAATTGTCATTTTTTTTTAATGTTCAGTTTTAAAATTATTAAATCATATTTATTAAAAATAAAGATACAGATATAATAAGGCAATAATAATTATCAATTGTATTTTCAATCCCTTATACAAAATTACTTTTCTTAAATATAACCCTTCAAAATATTTCTTAATAGAGCCCTTCAATGTCCGCTTTTTCATCAATTCTAAAAACTGACAACAGACACTTATATTTCGTGACGAAAGATCTAGGTTTTTTTTATTTCTGCATGACTATTCTTCGTATAATTTTGTATTGAAATATGTTTATCCTTTTCATTGATTTAAAATTATACATAAAATTCCCATCATCATAATGGCACTTACGGAAAGTCTTGAGATGCCATCGTTACTAATCGATTTTTTATTTTCTACGCAAGTATTTTTGTCAATACATATCTCAAATTTGCAATTGAAAGTATCATTTACTTTCTTTAATATATTTTGAACTATTTTTATTTTGTCTTCTTGTAATTCTGATTCCTTAGTAATATTAGATAAAGCATCCGTTTCATTACATGTCACGCAAAAACCGTCATTTGCTTTTACGGTTACTTTAACTTCTAATTTCATCTTTTTAAAGCAATCTCCCAAATCCTTGGCTTTTTCATCTTCTGGTTTCTCCACCTTTTTAAATCTATCCTCCGAATACGCAAAGTATTCGGCCAATCTATTTTGCAATCTATTTAGTTTTTCTATTAAAATTGCATCTGTTGAGTTACTTCGAGGACAACCTTCTATTATTATTGGAGTTGTCTTCGCGCACGGCGTTTCATATAATTTTTCATAGTTGGCGGGCAAATCGTAAATCACACACATCTTAGCCATACCAATTAATCCCGTATTAGGAGCGCCAAGACATTCAGAAGGGTCTGCCTGGAGTAAATAAATTTTACTAATAGACCATCCAGAATTCATAGGAATTACACCTATATCTCCTAATTGTTTTAGTCCGCCAAGTGTTTTCATAGGAACGGGCTGTCCGTTAAAGTATTTAAATAGTTTGGATTCGTCATTGTCAGGCCTAACAGTTACGGACTTGCTGTTGCATTCTACAATTAATATTGCATAAATTGCATTCTCAAATATATTATCAGATTCTATATAAGCTTTATAAATTTTGGCATTGTAAATGTATTCAACACAATTTAATGTCGTTTGTTGTCGGGATACTAATTCTTTATCGTGATCATTTTTTTTAAACGTTGCTTCAATGACCCCAGTATTAGCTTTAGAGCTATTAATAATGAAGATGACAAATATCGTAAGAGCTACATGGAGGTTTTTCAAAGTAAAATTTCTCATGTTGAAATTCATAAACAACACATCAAACAAAGTGTGTTTGATTATTACACTGTCAACGTATCCCAAATTTATTTCATTTACAATTGGTGGTCCGAATTATTAATTGACTTTATTTAGTTTATTCATATGGACATTGTGTAATTTTATAGGATCAATAAGTAAGCGACAGGCTGAAACACAGCAGAGATTTTTCTCCCAAAATAAAAGACACGGAGGGTGTTCTCCTTACGGCACTTGTGCGTCACCTGTGCAGCACAAAATTTCCGGATCATGCGTTTTAAGCAATTTGATATGTTCCCATATTATACGTCAGTAAATTTTTTATTAAAGGTATCATTAAGATTATTAAAACTATTAATATTAATTTTAGATATAAAAAGTCGTGTAATGCATATTGCTTTAAGACTATTTAACAAATAAGCTAAAAACAGATATACAGTGTGTTACAAAAGTCTTTGGACTAATATTTTTTATTATAACTTAATAAATAATTATGTAATAGATAAAAAATTTTAAATACGTAGTTATTTTTTAGAATGTAATAATAAAAATATTTAAGTTTCATTAATAATTAATTAATAAATTTATGATAAAATAATAATTCAAAATAAAAAAAAATTAAGTTAAAAGATTTTTTACTAGATTTTTTAAATAATTAACTATAATTAAATATTAAAAATCAAAAAATACATGTTAAAATTATTTAATAAAAAAAAATAAATAAATATCGATATATTATAAAATTTTTTAAATTTTTTAATTATTTTTAAAAAATTATATTTTCTGGTCATACCTTATATATAAATTTATATATAAAAACTTCATCAAAATTTTTATTTTTATTTTTTTTTTTATTTCAAATTATTATTTTATAATAATTTATTAATCAATAATTAATAAAACTTGAATATTTTTATTGTTACATTATAAAAAATATATATTTAAAGTTTTATAAAAAAAGAAAGAAAAAAAAAAAAAACTCTTTCTCACAACTCTTCAATTCGTAAAAAATTTCCTTTTTTGATAATGACATGAACGGTAGACAGTAAACAGCAAGCGAGAACCTCTTCTTGGAAAAGGTGTTTATCTTAGCTTTCTGCAGGGTGCAAGGGATCAATTAACTCTCCATAGAGGGGTAGATGCTTTGGGGGTGGCAAAAACCTCTTCAATTAAACTCTTTGCTTTACTGAGTGAAACCTATATAAGCAACCTCCAAACAAAGAAAAACCTTTTTACCGTATTTATACACATTACTATTTATCACATCACAAAAACATACACAAAACCAAACACAATCTTTTCCTCAAGAAACAACATTTTATTTTTTCAGAGTTTTTGTTTTCTGCTGATGATAACTAGTGCTAAATTAATCGGCATAACCTTCTGGCTAGTTGCCAGTCCTCATCCACCTCCATATACAAAAAAAACTGAAATCAATTTACCCCCATCAAAAGATCTGCAACACATAAAACACTAATGACATTCCGTATCACCAAACTACATCAAAACAACACAACATCTTACCAAATTGGGAGAGCACGTGATCAGTACCCTGCGCGAGTTCCGGTAATCACAATACACAACAATCTACCACAACAAAACAACAAACATCTGGAACGTATTCCAGTTACTTCACTATAACACCACAACACAGCCACATCACATTACAACAACATATCACAAAAATCACCTGATCAAACATATCGAGTTATATGTGGCTTGCGCAATGCCATCATTTGACTGAAACATTTATTTGCATTCAGGAACCACATTTAACAAAAGCTCCAATATTTTTCTGACACCTCATCTTTTCTACTTTTTTTCTTTTACTAAATGGTGATCTTGCCTCAAATGTTTTTTTATTTTTTATTTTTCTTAGTAGATAGTTCCTTTCTTTTTTTGTCTGCTCAAGGTT